TATATATATATGTATATATGTATGTATATATATATATGTATGTATATATATGTATGTGTATATATAGACGACAATCTGTGACAAAGTCTGTAGTTGTGCTAATGCTAATGCTAATGGCATGTAGAGTAAACATGTTACACGTAACACGTAACAGTGTGAGGTGACTACTAGTGACAACACTGAACACAGCTCCTCTTGAGTTTAACTAAAGTATTCTAAAGTAATTCACACATCAAGTCAAACACCATCACTAAATATCACATAATAACAATAATAAGAAGAAGTTTCACCTTTAGCTGTTGCAGGAGTGGAACCCGTTAGTGGAACCATTCTTCCTGGTTTCTCTTTTTTGCCGTCTTTGTGATCTAAAAATGATTTTCAAAAATATATAAATATTATACATGTATGAAAATGCAAAAGTTGTTTTAACAAATCTTCACAATAAAAGTCAAATACAGCCTTAATGGATTTATTTAGCTCCTTATTTCCAATCATCTCGTCGTTTCTGGCAGATCGAGCCCCTATTTTTTATTTTGAACATTTTTCATATGTGAAAATTATTTATTTTATATAATTTGCAAACTTTAACGAGAAAAAAATGTTTGAAAACAGGCATAGTAAAATGTGGTCTCCTTGCCTTTTAGTGGCGTTTTTCCCATGGTGACTGACGACCAATGGTGACGCTTCTGGGATGACGACCAATGGTGACGCTTGTGGGATGACGACCAATGGTGACGATTCTATAAGGACGACCAATGGCGACACTTCTTAGACGACCAATGGCGACGCTTCTTAGACGACCAATGGCGACGCTTCTACGATGACGGCCAATGGCGACACTTCTTAGACGACCAATGGCGAAGCTTCTATGATGATGACCAATGGCGACGCTTCTTAGACGACCAATGGCGAAGCTTCTACGATGACGGCCAATGGCGACACTTCTTAGATGACCAATGGCGAAGCTTCTATGATGATGACCAACGCGTCTGTGCCGCTTCTGGTTGTTTTCTAAAAAAATAAAATATCAAAAGGTGAAATTATTTAAATTGCATTGCAGCACGAACAGCACAAAGAGATTCATTAGTTCATTCATATCAGGCAGAGTTAAAGTTACAATGTCGTGAGGCTGACAATACTTTTTATATTGAATTGTGTAGAAAATAGAAATCAACACTGTTTGTATGTGAATACAGATGTTTGTGGTGAAACGTGCACACTAGCTGGTCACCTTTTAAAGTAGTCAATGTACATGTTTTATAACGTTGGGAATCAAAATACTGAGCTACATTTGAAGCAGTTATAGTAAATATTATCAATTAATCGCTCAATTATCATCAATTGGAAGCAAAAAGAGAGGAGGAATGTAACTAAGTACTTTTACTCATGTACTCGAGTATTTCTATTTCATGCTTTACTTTATCCCTCTAGTGTTGTCCTTTTCACTCCACTACATTTATTTGACAACTTTAGTTACTTGCAGATTTAGATTACAAACAGAAAATATAAGTCAACTAATAATGATGTATTAGTATAAGTTAGGCTACCTAACAATGTATAAATTATGTTATTATATATAATAATAATATAATATATATATTATTATTATTTATTTGATTAACCTTAATGAACTAACGTTACATCAGTTAGCCAGTGTGGTGTTGTTGTTTTATTGTTTTTGTCGGTCACGTGACTTTTAAAGACTATTTGAAGGCTGAAGTTGTGATAACATATATATCTATAAATATATGTTATATCAACTGTTCAGCCTTCAAATGGTAACTTGGCTAACGTTAGCTAAAAGCCAACATAGGTATAATAACGCTACTTTACTTACTATACAACAAAATCACAACAAACAAAAAAACTGTTATGATCTTGTATGTGTAACAGCAACGTAACAAGGTTCCAGGTAATAGCCTGGGCCCAATGTTGACAACTAGCTCCCGGTGCTGGCTAATAACTAGGTTTGGCTAACCTTAGCGTTAACCCTCTAATAGCTAGTTGTATTCCCTATTCTCAGGCAGAATTCCACGGAGCTTCAACGAACAGTCTCCCAGAACTCTTCGTCGTTAAGTCTGAAGAAAAGAAAACTTACAAGCGACGTCTTTTTTCTTTTTTCTTCTTCGATCCACACACTCTTCTTCTCTTAGTCGTCAGCTGCCATTTTTTTTCTCTCCACGAATGTAGTTGTATGCTTACGCGCATTTATGTCAAAGATGAGTGTATTTGTACGATGAACACAGACAGCGAGAAGGTAACTCTGTGTGCAAAAGCTGTAGACCAATCAAATCTCACGATACTCACACGTACAGCCAATCGGGCAACGGTTTGCTCGTTTTTAACCAACCAGCGTCTGTTCTACTCGGTCTGTAGTTTAGGATTCCGGAAAGTAAAAGGAGTGATCCATCTTCACTTTCTTTACTCTTTGAAAGACCTTTCTGATGCTGTGGCTAAAAACGGATAAAAAACAAACTGATAACTAAATTCCTTAGAACTAGAGAAACGTTAACATAAGAAAACAATCTTATAGTTTCTTTAAAAAAATAAAAAAACAGCAGAATACTATTTATTTTGATCACCCATCAGAATCAGAAGAAGTGTTATTACCAGGATTTTGTCTTTGTTTGGTGCATACAATAAACTTGTTAAGAGGGAATAAAAATGCAGGCAAAGTAGCTACTGCAAAAGTCAATTGCATAAATATAGAATTGAAAAATTACAATATAAATATGAAAAAGATGCTATAACAATACTGTAATATGTGCAGTGTAACTGTTTTTTTAGAACGATAGTCTTTTGTTAGTGATACAGTATTGTTAGTGTGATGATTTGTTGTTGTGTTATTGGGAAGCGCGAACATTGTTATTTTTATTTACAAAGGAAAAATGATAAACATTGTTTACAAACAACATATATATTTACTGAATTACAAAACAACCACTGACGCTGTCTTGATCTAACAAAGACAAAAGGCTGCTATTCTTAAATCAATGTGAAGGAAAAATACAATTTAATAAGTTAACAAAGTGAATTAAACAGAACAGCTGTTTAATTAAATAAAGACTAGATCACATATAATAACATCTTTAAATCATAAAATAGAATAATACAAAAGAGATGATGTGGATATTAAATCTCAAAACTGATGTTTATATTAATGGAATAAATTAAAACCAGAAAAACTCTCAATTAAAACATTCCATCTCTATGAAAGTTTTTTGACCTTTCTAACAAAAACGTTGATAACAACTCCCTCAAAGTTACGTCATCACATTCGTCAAATAGCAGAACATGACTCAGAACGACTCTCTCATATCAGTTTAAGGCTCGTGTGCTTTCCCCGCCTACGAATTTCTTCCACAGTCGAGATTATTCTAACCGGAACAAGCGTCGTCAGTCCAAATATTCAAGCAGCCTTCAGCACAAGTGGAAAGTCCCAAAGCAGTAATATTATATACTACAGGCGACATTCAACAAACGTGACCAATGAAGGAAAACCATATATCTGGGTTTTATTTTGAAATGATTGTAATTTGCTGGATGGTTTCACTCACATTCATCCAAATAGTTTATGACAGTGGTGTCAACATTTAGCTGGCAGAGATGTTCAATTCAAGATTCTGATCCATCTGATTATGTCATAAAATATAAGACATTTTCAATATTATAAATATAATAATATAAATGTAATATGTAGATAATAAAAGCTCCATCTTCAACAACAACTACATGAAATGCTACTTACATATTACTGCATCAGTAATAAAAATTAAATATGATGTATTTACACTCATTGTCCATTCTGATTTTCACTGATACATTGATTCACTGATTCATTTACATTTTGAATGCAGTACTTTACATTGATGTATTGCTATTTGATCTGAAGACTAACATATAAGTAACATTTCGTGATGAGGTGACCTGTTGTTATCATAGTGCAGCTTTAATAGGAACACATTGGCTCTTTGACATTCTGTGAATTTTAAAGCACTTTCTCACAATTACAGTTATTCCAGATAATCATGCTCATAATCAGAGTGTCATCTCCTCTGAGGACTTTATAGAGAATGAGCCGAATAACCCCAAATCAATAATATATTCCAAAACAAATCGATGCAGTAACCAACGGAATAATCCACATAAGATATAAAAATGGCAATATTGCGTTTTTTGACAATAACTCTCTAATAAAATTTGAATTATTCTGTTATTCATATTTTTATTGGTGAAAAGTGGTGTTACATTACACAAAACACGTGCCTTTAGATGTAAACAATCAAGAGAACATTAATGAAATACAGAAAAATAACTTTAGTACCATTTTGAGCCCAAACTGCACATTACCGACTATTGAGATGAAGTGCTCGGTTCATCCTGTAGGTGGCAGCATAGATTCATGTGATGGCATGTACATGGAACAAGCTGTAAAGATCCTTCAGTGTTTTAAATATCAATAGTTCATATTTGGTTTGAATGACGTTGAGTTGATGGATGGAAACACGCAGGACCTCACCCGCAGTTTTCTATTTGCTTTGCACTCAGAATGTATGTGTCGGCTGAAGCGTTTCACATGATGATGAGGAAAAGATAAAACCATCACTTCTCTATTCACCAAAAACAAATGTATAATCACAGCCCTTCAGGCATTTCAAATGATAGACATCGGAATAAAGACAACGGCAAAACGATGAGTGAAAGAAGAAACGGAAAACCTTTTGTAACAGTTCAGAATTATCAACGATTTCATCTGAGAGGGCGCATAAACCGGCAATGTGATGAAGGTCCCTCTGTCCTTCCAGTGGAGAAAACGTGATCAAGTGCTCACCAGGGCGAAAAGCGGATGCAGTGCAATAATGGTTGCCCTTAAAATGGGGAGAAGGTGATGAAGTGCCCTGCAGCGCCCATACAGAGGAGGAACACGATGCAGTGTCATTTCGAGGCTGCACTGTATACATGCGGGCAAACTTTCTGTGGGCTGTTGCATCGCTACATGCAGCTGGTGCGCTTTGTATTTAGTCCAGCACTGGTTCAGTGAGGGTTGATAAGCGACATGCTACCCTTGGGCAAGGCAGATTTAAAATCGGTCTCTGAATCGTGTTGCTCTACATTGTCCTTCATAATAGCGCCATGTGCAGTGCAGGCCATAGATTATGTGATCGTACTGAAGCAGGGTGTGATCTTGTGGATTATGTAATTGAGAAATTAGAACAATAATATCCCACCTCGTACAAACACCCTCAGACCGCAACACAGTTTTCTTCTCCCCCCCCCCCTCCTTGTTGCTGCCGTTCTGCTCTCTGATTGGTCCAAACGAAGGGGGCGTTCGAATGAACAAGTGTTTAACCCGTTTTCATTGGCCGTGGTCACGCCACTCAATCTGTTGCCTGGTGATCTGCTCGCTTGCAGCTCGTCAACCGCACGATCCAGTTACTGGCGCTGCCTGCTGCAATGAAAATGCCTCCGTTGGTGGGTGGATATAAACGGGCCCGGTTCCATCATTTTCTCCCCAAACAGTGACCGAGTGAGTAGTTCATATTTCATATCGCCACATAGATAAGAATCTATGTTGATATCTTCACTTCAGCCTCTCGAGACATGCGGCTTGGAGGTTTGTTTTTAACCTAATTTGCGTTTTAATATGTTTTGTGAATCAGGCAGAACAACAGCTAACGTTTCATTGTAACGTATCTAAGCAGAGTCCATGCTGGAACAACAAAGTCAGGACATTTGTAGCAAGTTGTGCTGAGTGTCGCCATATGTGTCTGACTTGTTGGATTTTTTTTATTGCTGCTGCTCTGCATTGAAAAATGTTGGAGCTGCATTCATTGTGTTGGGGAAGTCGTAGTTAAAACACACACACACACACACACACACACACACACACACACACACACGCGCACACACTTAAACGCAACGTTACAGTACAGCCAGAGTCCATGTTGAAGCACAATCATTTTAAAGCCACATTTGTGTGTTTGCTGTTGCTGTTGAGGATGTGAGAGATTTATATCAATAAGCATTAATGTATGACAGATATTTACATAAACAGGACTTATTATTTTAAATCATAATGTAACATTTTACCTTTAATGTCAATGTTAGCTGGCTCTTTTTTTATTTTTTTGTTGCTCACTAAAACGTGTTGTCAAAGTGCCTCAAATAGCAATGACGTAAGCCTTGTTTCTGCAAAAAAAATAAAAAATATTACCACTATAATTTTACTGATCATAAAACCCAGTTCAGGTAAAGATAATACTGCTATTGATCACAAGAGGTGGCTTTCAAAGTCCTGCATTTTTGAATTCCTCAGACTCAGTCCATTACCACGCATGAGTCATTCTGTTGATAGAGACAAAATATATGATCCACACAGCAGTGCCCAGTGCATTCCTGCTCATATTAGCCTTCTAGGGTCTGGGGCCTGGAGAGTATTCGGCTAAAATCTGCTCTGGAAAAAACAGGCTGCATGCCGCTGTGTGTAGGTTGTGAAATGAGGAGAAGGAGGAAGCACATTAACGACCAAAAAGGCTTTCTTTTCCCCTCCTCTGCAGCCATTGTCTTGCATCATCATCCTCCTCAAGTTCACCTACAGTTTGCTGTCAGTTCACTGGTGTTGATGGCGTTCGGCTGAGTGACATAAGGGAGTAATAGACCACACGGCGGCGTTTAAGTGTTCTCGGAGACAAGAGTTTATTTTGGTTTGTGCATGCTGATGAGCAGCTTTTCTGTGCCCACAGCACCGTAGGCAGGCAGACCGGGAGGTGTGTGTGAGCAAGTCCTCCAGCTTCTCCTGCAAGGAGAAGATGAAATGGGAGAAAGTGGCGTCTAGAGTCTTGTCTGATTCAATAAGAGGGAAGAGCGAGTGGATACCGGAGGAGGTGCTTTGATCACATTAACAGATTGTTTGGTGCTGATTCACCCTCCGAAAAAAAGAAAAAAAGGTAGGAATAACAGGGAGGCACTTGGTATCGTTTCCCATTGTTTTCATAATGTGTAGTGAATTATATATGTTTAATCTTATGTTACTGTTTGTACTCATGAATGTCAGTTTACTCATCAGTGAGAGTACTCGGTTGTATAATCATATCTTCCGGGGTTCTGGAAGGAGATTACTGAAATCTGACAATCATCAGGGTTATCTCGAGTTAGACATGAGACTTTCAATATCTGAAAAACAAAAACCTGTGTGATATGCTCGGTGGAATAAACTTTGACAGATGAGGGCCTTTAACAGGCAGGGAAGTGTGACCCATCATCAGTCCTGCTTTATTTACAATTTCTATTTGAGTGTGTGGATGAAGCATTAAGTTGTTAAGTTTTATTAATTTATTTCTCGTTTTCTACGCTTCGTAACGCTACTACTCCACTGGTCGTTGTAGTCTTTACTGGAAAACCTTGCCTTAGTGAATCTACAACTTGATGTAAGTTTAGTTTTTTAATGGAAGCTAACCTGCTACAATGGTCACAATGGCAACGGTACACATAAAAATGGCCGCCGCTCTGATCATCCTGCTACGTTGATTTAAATCGGAATCTCCAATGTTGAAACATGATTTTTAAGTTGTCAGAATTGTGTTCATAGTTCATTTCGTTGTGTCTACAAAGCAGAAAAACTGATGCCGCATTTTTGTAGTCAAACTTCAAGAGCTGGAATGGATATCAGTGAAAATGGGGCTGATCTATTCAACTCAATTCTATGTTTGTATACTATAGACCAGGGGTCTTCAACGTTTTTCAGGCCAAGGACCCCCAAACTGATAGAGAGATGGAGCAGGGACCCCCGACTATATATATTGTATAAAATTGTGTTTTATATTAAACTGGTCCTATAGTGCCATGTATAAACATACCTCTTTATTGTGCATTCAATACTAAGCTATTCAAATAATACACAGGTTCATATATTCATGTTTTTATTTTAAACATGTGCAAGGTGCAGTGAGTAGGGAGGCCGTGCCACTGCCATTTATAAACACACCTCGTCAACAGATATCAATGTCAACATCAACTTTGTCTGTCAATTGCATGATAATCATCATACAAGCTATTCAAATTTATTTTAAACATAAATGTGGAAACGAAAATGAGTGATGGCCTATTAGTGCCACTGCCATGCATAAACATACCTGTTATCCTGCATACAATACTCAACTATTACAATAATGGACACATTCATGTTTGGGAAAAAACATTTTTTTTTTTTAATTTATTTATTTTTTTAAATTGTCTAATCAACCAAATATTTCGCGGACCCCCTGCAGTACCTCCACGGACCCCCTAGGGACCCCCTGTTAATTTCTTTTTTTTTACCAAATTGCTGGTTTACGATTTAAGAATACAATAATTATTACAAGTCATTTCAAACAATAATTAATAACAACAAAGTGCATGTCTGTGTATTTATTTGTTATATTTAGTTTTACAAAGTTAAGAAAGCAATGTTTAAGTCAAGCCTGATGTTGCCTTAGACATAAAAGAATGATCCCAGTCACTGAGTGAGTCATACAGCTTATTGATTACACACCGATATGTCACAGACACAAAGTTTCATATATATATATATATATATATATATATATATATATATATATACAGTATATATGTAATTATTGCAATGCTTAAATCAGTGAGTGGGCCACAGGCTCATTTACCATTTTCTTACCTCCATCCGTGACACTGACCTAACAGACATTTATTGAAATGAAAATCTTCCAGTCAGGATATCTCAGCCTCTTGCAGCTAAATAGAAGTGCAATACTGAGTCACTGGAGAGCCCCTTTAACTCAAGGACGTGGAGCTGTAGAGTGAGTTTTGTGCCACTGAAGAACAACTCTGCAAAACCTGCATTCAAAAAATCACTTTCTTGAGCTTCTTTTTGTTTTAAAATGGCAAAATATATCCAGTTTTGTCTGTTAACTGATGCTCTCTTAAAGCTAACTGGAGAATATGTGTATTTATGTGCATATATGTATATCATTTGGTACGTCTTTCTGCAGGTAACCACTGAAGAAGGCATGTGGCGGATACTATGGCTCACAGCCGGCACGCGCCCCTCCGGAGCCGACAGTTGGCCGCCTCACGCCGTCCTGTAGCCGGGCCGAGCTCCGTGCACCTCGCGCTGCCTACCTTTTGACTTCATGAAGATCCCTGACATCGGTGATGTGATGAATAAATTTGAAGTCCTTGGGATTGTGGGTGAAGGTGAGAGTTCTCATTCGATGCCACGGCAAAATGTAACGAGGTGAAATACCAAAAAAAAAATCTTTCATTCTGGTCCAGTCTTCAGCCACAGAGGCGGTACACTCACACATTGTGTTGTAGGGCTTTTCAGTGAGCAATCATTTGATGGTTTTTATTCAATTTGCCCGCAGAACAAACTGTGTTAAAAGCCTGCTCTGCTGTTCATGATTGTACAACTCAAAGAGGTCAAGGAGAAATGTTTTTAAACCATGGACACAGTGAAGATGCTGTGACCTGAGTTCTCTTTGTGTTGTAAAAAGGAAGAGGTGGATTGTGGGATTCTGTTTTATTGTTGTAAATACCAATCAGACATGCTGATTTGATCGTTTGTTCCCCCCAAAATGCTTCTCATTGCTCTTCTTTTTCCTCGAGTGTGTGTGTATAATCTGTCGCTAGAAGACAGAGGGAAACTTTGAGCTGGATTGTGAAGGCCGACTGTCCGTTCAAAGAGGAGTCTGTCTGGAATTAAGTCGGCTCTTTTGGTGCCACATTAAACTGTAAAGTTTCTTTGGGTCCAGCTCTACTTGCGGGCTGTGCACTAATGGTTCTGTGCGCTCCACTTCATCCAGCATCATAGATCTCATCTCACTGGTCTGGAGGTCAGTCGATTTTGTTCATCATTTAGGACCGAGAGAGCGGCACGTAGAGATGTTCTGATGCCAATTATTCCTGGCCGATACGTGTAGCCTACCCATCTGATGCCAGAGTGTTAAAAACAAGTGTGTGTGTGTACTGTACATATTTGTGTGTAGATATATTAATGGGTGTATCTACTGTATGTATGTATATATGTATGTGTATATATATGTACGTGTATATATACAGTATGTATAGTTGTTTGTGTGTATAGCTCGGAGCAGATCCATTATCAGCTAGCTAACGATGACATGTGACCGTGTTTTATGTTGAGGTAAACCTTTGGGAGATATCGTCCCTAAACTTCAGTAATTGGTGCAGTTTTTGAAGCCTTGAAGCCTTAAATCTAACTTTCCTTAAGTGTGTGCTGGTGAAGGAACACAGAGCAGTTCATCATATGCTGCTCTGTCCAAGAATTCCTATTGAATCCTCGGGGTGTGTGTGTGTGTGTGTGTGTGTGTGTGTGTGTGTGTGTGTGTGTG